CTTCATTGACTTTTACCAACATCTTTCCATCAATGTAGTCTACAACAAGTTTTATCTTAGCATCTGGGTTTTGCACTCAGCAAAATCTTTCTTTCTTTCTCTTGTCCTGTCTACTTCTGTCCTACCACATTGGTTACTGCTGAGAAAAAACAACCAAAAATTGGTTTCTTGGAGTGTGTTGAAAACACTGTACTGTAATAAGAATACGGGAAGACAGGCAGTCTTGTATACTCGAAGAAGTCTGCACAGCTTCTGCTGTCTTTATAAGCTACGGAGTCTTGATATTTCTTGATTTTTGTTACTTTTTGAAATTTTTTTCCCCACTTTTTGAAAAATACTAAAGGATTTACACATGTAAATTGAATGAAAATTAATCAAGACTGCAATTTCATGGCTGCAGAGTAGTGGGGTCATATGAACATGTGCAGAAGTAAAGTAAGAGCTTTTGTATGGTGGTGGAGGAACTCCTAAAGCTCTTCATTCAGAAACTGAAAGAGCAGTGGAGAGCACGACACTGCCTCATTAAGCCAAGCCCCATCGACAGGCTAATGTCAGTCATCTGTCTCAAAATAAATAAATATGCTGGAAATGAACAGACAGATGTATTTTTAAAGTCAAACGTATGGCTGGAATCTTTCCACACTCAAAGGAACTTTGCTCTTAATGTCTGATTTCTATGTACCCAGAACTCTGCCAGAGGCCTCCCACTCCAGCAGTCTGTTCCAAAGTTTTTATACAGAAAGATCTCTTCTTTCTATTTATTTATTTGGAAACATAGATGAAGCAATCCTCTAACACTCTCTTCATATGTAGTCTGCCTTTATGCTGCTAAATGAAATATGAGTCCCAAGACCAAGCAAGCTAAGAGCCTGATGCGTTCTAGATATCTGCATTGCTTAAGATAGGCTTGGTAACCTGTATTTCTGATAAGACACTTCTATGTGAAACATTGTCATGGAACAGTATAGCAACCTGGCTGTTATCTGATATTGCTACAAGGTATTATGGGATGTACAGTGGCAGACTTGAGCTGAGCAGGCATAGCTATGTCCATGTTTAGCTTACCCATGCTGCTAATAGGCCTGCGTGACAGGGTAGAAGGCACACAAGTGGTCTCTTCCCAATGCTAATAAATTCACCCGGAGCCCATGTGTGAGCACAGACTCGTGTTCAGAGAGTCTGGATACACAGTTTAATTATAAATACACGCTTATGTTTATATCACTATATAAGCAGAACTATCCAACTGTAGACTGAACATGTGGATAAATGTTTATACCTAATAGAAGCCACTTCAGAAGTCAGTATAATTCCCACAAACAAACCCTATGCAAAAAACCCATGAAAACAGGTTAATGCCTTCAAAGTCAACAGGACTAGGCTTTCTCAGAAAGAATCTCCGAGTTGAGAGTGCCAAATGTCACAATACTGCATCAAGCAAAAATGTGCCGAATGTCACAATGCTGCATAAAGACAGACATCCTGTAAGCAGTCAGACTCCAGAATGTCTAGTATGTAGATAGGCTCAAACACTACCTGAAGTAACACTCAGAAATGAACAAAAAGAATAAATGCCGGGCATTCTTTATGACTTGCATCATCAGAAAAACAGACACCCATCTTATGCTATCATTATTAAACCACGTAGCTGAAAATTTTTTTAGTAGCTTAGAAGAAGAATACGTAAAAAATTACAGTCTCTGTATTAAGAGGCCGTGACTGTGCAAAATGTCTGTCTGTATTTGTAGTGTTGTTGGCCAAAGTGAGCGCATGATAGTTGCTCTCTCATTTAGTATTCTGTATCTTATTCTTCACGTATTCTGGGCACTGAATAGTTATGCATTATATTATTTGCTAATCACAAATGTTCTACCTCTGTTAAACTTAAAACTACTTGTGTATGTGATCCAAGCCAGATTTTAATCAAGTTCCCAAAGGTGAAAAGCTTGTTCATCACGATATTGGTTTAGTTGTATCGTCTCATGGTACGAAACTCTGTGTATGCTATAAAATGAATTGAACAGCCTCCTAAACCAGAGACTTATGACTTCTGACCAGCATCAAAACCAAAAGCATTGAAATTCCTTGAGAACTACTGTGCTTCTGTTATTTCCATCACAAGTATAAGCAAATATGACAGTCAGAAATGCTTTGGAGAGCATAATCACTTTTCATGAAGTCACCAGCACAATTCTGAAATCTTGGTAGGTTCAAAGAGTTCATAGATATAGTTAAATGCCTATTGTGCATTTAAAATCAAACGCAAATTTTAACTTCTCGAGCTTTCCCTGCCTCTGAGCCCAAGCTAATTATCTTCAAGTAGTTCAGCACTGTAATGATTACTGCTCATATTCCATAAAGTACTTCTTCATGGTGGTAGTGCGTAGTAGGAAACTATGAGACATACTGGTATTTAGTATCCTTTCCCTA